TTAAAAATAAATACGTGCACTTGATTGTATGTAAATCATACCCCAAAAATTGTTTAAAAAATAATTTAAAATGAAAAAACTTAATAAAGGTATCCCTAAAAATTGAAAACAAAATGAAATGAACCTGTGTATTGGGCTGAAGGCATAATCATACAGAAAAGGACTGTTTCAAGTGACTTCAAAACACAGTAATTTGACCATATTCCTAATAGGATACATAGACATATAGAACTGCAAAAAAGAAACACACACATGGGCTTCCCTGGTGGCGCAGTGGTTGAGAGTCCGCCTGCCGATGCAGGGAACACAGGTTCATGCCCCGGTCCGGGAAGATCCCACATGCCACGGAGTGGCTGAGCCCGTGAGCCATGGCCGCTGAGCCTGCGCGTCCAGAGCCTGTGCTCCGCAACGGGAGAGGCCACAACAGTGAGTGGTCCGCATACCACAAAATAAAAAAAAAACCACACACACACAAAAAACCAAACACCCCACAGTTGCACTCAGTATTCATATTACCAGTAGTAATAATAGTATTTTATTCTGAGACTATATGTGTAGTACAGTATAAAGTAAATGCATCATTATGTTGGAGTCATTGAGAACCTGGATTTTTGTCATGGATGAAAGAAGGTACGTACGTGTACATATCCTTCTGTCCTAACTTTGAGTTAGAAGTTTCAGTATGAACTCAGAATATATTTTATCTTAACAAATAAATCTCATAGTTCTGTCCACTGAAAAAGCCTAGAAACAATGACCAACCCAGAAATACTCCCTAGCACACAAAATGTGATTTCTAAAATAATCTCACTTAAAAAAAAAACAGGATCCTTACAGAAATAGCTGATTCCAGGACTGGAGCAATTAAAGTATAAGAGGAGTCTAAAACATCAAGGGGGTGATGGATTAAAATGTGTTGAAACTCAGAGCACTGTCAAAAAGGCTGACCCTAAACTGGGCAGGAATGATGGTTGAGGTAAAAAGGGAGATATTATGAGAATAGGGATAAGGAGGAAAACCTGGTTAAACAGAAATAAGGGGGTAGAAGATAAATTGGTTTTAATTAGAAAGAAAGCCCCAGTTTGGACATTTTTTCAATGCATCAATTCCAAGCAAAAATAACACTTTTAGTGTGACTGTGTCCATGAGTAAAAACACTGGGAAAGGGCACAGGAGGATGACCAGGGTGTTGACGGGAAAGACTGGGGAATGTGGAGTCACAGAATGGATAAGATCCTGATTCTGACACTTACTAACTCTTCACTCTGGACATAAGTGAACTGGTCTCAATTTCTTCATCCACAACATGGGAATAATATTACCATAAGGAACTGAATGTTTGTTTAACCTCTAGCGTGACTATATTTGGAAATGAGGCCTCTAAGGAAGTACTTAAGGTTAAATGAGGTATGTCATAAGGGTAGGGTCTGCTCCCATAGGATTAGAGTCCATATAAGAAGAGACACCAGAAAACTTAAACCCCTCTTTCCTCTGTCTATCTCCCTCCTTCCCTTCCTCCCCAAGGAAAAGCCTTGTAAGCACAAAGCAAGAAGCCAGCAAGAGTCCTCACCAGAAACCTGGACTTCTAGAACTGTGAGAAAATAAATTTCTGTTGCTTATAAGCCACCCAGTCTATGGTCTTTTGTATGGCACCCTGAGCAGACTAATATAATTATCTCTGTAGAGCTGTAGAAAGGATTAAATTTAATAAATTACCTGACCTAATCTATGGCAGTTATTTTCATTATTATATGTATTAAAGTGGAATAAGAATTAGGAAATGAGAAAGGTTAAAAAAATTAAAACAATGACCACAGGGCTCCCCTGGTGGCACAGTGGTTGGGGGTCCGCCTGCCAATGCAGGGGACACAGGTTCATGTCCCGGTCCGGGAGGATCCTGCGTGCCGCGGAGCGGCTGGGCCTGTGGGCCATGGCCGCTGGGCCTGCGCCTCTGTAGCCTGTGCTCTGCAACGGGAGAGTCCACAGCAGTGAGAGGCCCACATATCACAAAAAAAAAAACAAAACAAAACAATGACCACAGATGTAGATATGACCACTAATATAGACAAAGGCAATGAAGAAAAAAAAAACTCCAGTTAGGTAGTTAAGTTAAAGGTAGGCTTTAAAGGGACACTTAATAAAACTAACCTATTACTTGATTCATTATCATCCTTATATACAAGGAGTAGTCATACTAAAAAATAACCATAAAAAGTAGGATGGACTACCTTGTTAATAATGTGTTGTAATATACAGATTTTTAAATATGTGCATAGTCTTTGACCCAGAAATTTCAATTCAAAAGGAAATAATGAAAAGTGCATGCAAAGCTGTACACATGAAGATATTAATCATGTCACTATTTACAATATAAAAGAAGTGGAAGAAACCTCAATGTTCATTCATGGAATGAAATATCCCCTAAAATACAAAAAAAAAAAAAAAAAAAAAAAAAGTAGGATGGACTGGGAGTTCCATGGTGGTCTAGTGGTTAGGATTTGGCGCTTTCACTACTGTGGCCCGGGTTCAATCCCTGGTCCTTTTTGGGGAACTGAGATCCCACAAGTCACACGGCACAACCAGAATTTAAAAAAAAAAAAAAAATTAGGATGGACTGAATCAAAAAACAGGCACTGGTTTTCTGTAAAGAAAAGCAGGACCTGCTAAGATTAACTACAAATCTATATAATATTTAAAGCAAAAGAGAAGCAAAATTCGAATGAACAAAATGGGTATCTGGCATGAAAATACTGAAGTTAACTTTTCTTTCTGGCCAATTACAAAAAGAAAACAAAACCACAACTTCCAAACAGGAAAAAAGCCCTTGATAAAATTCTCTTTACCTACTGCTCTACATTATTTCATCTGAACACACAACACAAACCAAGAAGTCTGCAACTTTTTTACTTCTTATTTATATTAAAAACTCAACTTTGCTTAGTGCCAGACAATGTCACTCCATCCTGCTACCTGTCTTCTTTCTTTATTCCTTTTTGGTTTTCACTCCATCCCTCTCATTACTGCATTATGTGGTTATTCCTGCCATCTAGTGGAAGCACAAAATAGTAAGATAAAACCATTTAAACAGAAGCAACAAAGCTCTGTTATAACAAATTATAAGTACTTCCCTCACTAATAATAATTATACAGAAGAACAAGGGGAAAAAAGCAGGAAATCTGAGCCAACGCAGTACAAGTATTAGGAATCTTGGCTAAAAAAGCTCCCTTGATGTTTCGGGCTATGTAATATTCAAAGAAGTGTTGGTCGCTGTCTTCCATGTATGATTTTTTTTTTAATTAATTTATTTTTTTGGCTACGTTGGGTCTTTGTTGCTGCGTGCGGGCTTTCTCTAGTTGAGGTGAGTGGGGGCTACTCTTCGTTGCGGTGCACAGGCTTCTCATTGCAGTGGCTTCTCTTGTGGAGCACGGGCTCTAGGTGCGTGGACTTCAGTAGTTGTGGCACGCAGGCTCAGTAGTTGTGGCTCACAGGCTCTAGAGTGCAGGCTCAGTAGTTGTGGCACACGGGCTTAGTTGCTCCGTGGCATGTGGGATCTTCCCGGACCAGGGATTGAACCCGCGTCCCCTGCATTGGCAGGCGGATTCTTAACCACTGCGTCACCAGGGAAGTCCCTTTTCTTTTTTTTTTTAATTCATGGAAAACAGAGGTAAGAACCTATAGTAAAGACTCTGCAAAGGAATTATTCACCATGGGCAGGATGAAGAGCAGAAGCAGAAAAGCACAGGCTTTGGGTTTTGATTCTCCTTCACCTACTTAATGGCTCTTAATCTCTCTGAGCCTCCAACTTCCCATCTGTAAAATGAAATGTTACCAAACTCAAGGGTTTTAGTAAGGATTAACCAGGTAACAGTGATACTTAGTTTTTCAAAAATAGCCATTATGAACAAGAGAAATGAGAAGTCCCGAAAACTGTATTCCTAACAATAAGAGCATAACTAATCCCAATAAGGAAAAATGAAAGCAATGTGTCTGCCCACCAACATTCTTTGGTTGGCTCAGATTTGTAAAGAGCATGTATATAATTTATTTATAATATATCCCCCACCAACTTTTCAAAAGTCATCTAGGGCAAAGTATATAAAAATCCAAAAAGAAGGGCAACCAAAAAAGTTAAGCCATAGCTTCTAAGAATGGTGCAAGAAAAGCTCAAATAGAATATATTATTTAAACTTCAGAAAATGCCACTGAGTATAAGAGTCCATATCTCTAGGGACAAACCAAATTACCTTCCAGAGTAAGAACAGAGCTGGCAGATGTGATCACACAATATTAAGTATTAGTAACCATAAGAAATCATGGAGAACAATAATGTCAGCTTTTCAAAAAAGGAGAGAAAAAGTGGTTTAAAATTGGTAAATTTAACATCAATCTCAGACAATAACTATATATTGTATATTAGATTTTAAGAAGGTGGCTTGTGAACACATAAAAAGTAATGTAGTCATTAGATAAAACATTAGGAACGAGCAGAGTTCACTAAGAACCGATCACCTTTAAAACAACCTTACAAGGTTTTTTTGTTTTTTTTAAAACGGAAAAGGGAGGAATGAAATTGGTGGAGATTAAGAAAGCAAGTTATATGGAGTTATAGTGTGAAAAGCCTTGTATATCAGACTAAGAAAAACTAATAGAGGTTTTTGAATTGGAAGTGGATGATGTATAATAATCTTGAAAATTTAACTTTTCAATTTTCTAAATTTAATTTAATAATGCCAATAATGACAGGAGATGGGTGCAAGCATTAAATAGGTTGGTACTAAAGTTACTATACCATCAAAAAGTAATAATGATCTATAGAGTATAGCATCCTTTTAACTCTCTCCTGCTTCTAGTGGGGAAAAAACAAAATAATGAAAAGGAAAAAAAGAGATCAAAGAGAAAAAGCTGTATATCTGGAGTGAAGTTGCAAACCGCCACGACCAATGGCAACTCTTAGAATGCCTACCTGAGCTATCCTGCAGATATGTATTAAAATACTTACCAATAAGAAGGCTTTTTAGCCTTCTGTAGTCTTCTGTTACATCAAAATCATCACCTGCGAATATTAACATGGGTTTTGTTCCCTCCGGACATTTACTATTCTAGGAAATAAAAAAAAGTAATTATATAATTATCAAGTCTAAATTGTTTATATGCTGATTTTAAAGCAGTTAATATTTATATATAGCAGGGGTCCCCAACCCCTGGACTGGTATCAGTCCTCGGCCTGTTAGGAACCGGGCCGCACAGCAAGAGGTGAGCGGCAGGCGAGCAAGTGACGGTTCATCTGCTGCTCCCCATCGCTCGCATTACTGCCTGAACCATTCCCCATCCCCCCATCCATCTGTGGAAAACTTGTCTTCCGTGAAACTGGTCCCAGATGCCAAAAAGGTTGGGGACCGCTGATATACAGTGACCCATTTTCACATTTTCTTAACTGTCCTAAAATTATGTCTATGAATGCTGATTTTATTTATTTATTTATTTTGGCCACACGGTTCGGCATGCGGAATCTTAGTTCCCCAACCAGGAATGAAACCTGTGCCCCCTGCAGTGGAAGCGCGGAGCCTTAACCACTGAACCACCAAGGATGAACACTATGAACACTGATTTTAGACTTAAAACCAGAGTGGGGATTTTTTAATTTACAGATTTTTATACTAAAAAAATAATTTTTCATTCCACTCCCTCTTAGTGCCAAATTAATAAGTGATTAAAGAATGATGTAAGCTACTTTTTATCACTTTCTATGCAAAGAATAAAATAAAAAGCTAAACTTGCGGCAAAACAAACAGCCCTCTAACAACCAACATCTCAGAGTCAAAATAAATTTAATTTCTTTGAATTATTTGTAACAATGTGCCTTTCCTACTATGTCACACCAGCAGTATTTTAAAATGATAGCTAAACTGAACTACCAACTAAACATTCACATGGGAAGCAACATAATGTTATACAAGCTACAGAAAATATGGGCAATCCTCACTCAGCAGGATCGAAGCTCTACTCTAAAAAATATTTTGTCTAGTCCTGGATTTTCTTTTCTTTCTTTTTTTTGGCTGCACCACACAGCTTGTGGGATCTTAATTTCCACACCAGGGAATGAACCTGAGCCCTCGACAGTGAAAGTGTGGAGATCTAACACTGGACCGCCAGGGAACTCCCTAGTTCTGGATTTTCTATACCAAAAAGAATGTGATTTTTTGTTTTACCAAAGTGAAAGAAAAAATCAAATAGAAAAAATTCTTTAACTGAAGGGTTAATTTATGGAGGAAGAAGAATTGGTCTGAGCTTCCCAATGATTCTAATATCTCTGCTCTGACACTAATCAAGGATTATCCAAGTGGAGAGGGTGGGGGGAGACAGGACAACAAACAAACAAACATCCTCTGCCCTTGGACCAGAGGTCACGTGTTGCTTCCCTGTTCACCATGACCACTCTTGTTGACATTCTCTGCTTCCAACCAAACCTGAACTGTCTATACTTAGGAGATGGGCCTAAAATCTGTCTGTCTGATTGTGGGCCTGAATAGACCTTCCAGAGCCAATGACTCTTCTGTGTTCCACCTGTGCCCAACTAACCTTTAATTTTAAATCATCTCATTTCTTAGGCTTATTTTATGCAGAATAACCATCCCTAGAATTTTGGCCATCTGAGAAAACAGGCTTCTAGAATAATCACTCTATTTCCTGGTAGCATCTAATCACCTGTTGCTTAAGAGTTAACAGAGGGATGAGGCTTGGCAATAAAAGTGGGCAAGTAAGAAAAGAAATACCTGGTAAAGATGTCTTAAAAACGAGGAGGTAGAAATAAAGAAGAAATAAATATGGAAGGAAAGTGCAACAAAACATGCAACTCCAAAACAAACTAAAAATACGAGGTTGTAGCCAAATAACAGGGTCAAAGTGAAGGGGACTGGCTAATAGTCTATGTAGGAATTGCCAATGTAAGCACATGCTCATCAATTAATGAATTTTATAGTTATGGATATGCTCCATGAGTGAAAATTTAGTACTCAATTTATTTTTATTTCTATTTTTTTCCCCACACCAAAACAGTACTTTATTTTGTAAATTTTGACCGATTATTACTCCCATGTTATGGTTTTTTCAATTGTCAAGTGTACAAGGTGAAGAAAAAATTTAGTTAGATGGAGGTTGCACCTGGAAAATAAATTTCTTAAACTCCACATACACGTTTCAAAACTGCTGGGTCCCAAGTCCATCTATGAACCCCCGGGCTGCCAGTATCATGTGCAGCATACTAAAGCTACACTATCTGAATAGCTTATTAATTCTGCATAAATCAGGTCAATGTGTCAACCTGTAACAGACTGCACACTTTTAACTGAACATGGCAAAATATTCACTCTCTAGAACTTTACATCATCATTTGATGTCAAACAATGAAGCAAATCCCAACAGTATATACAAAAAACAGCTTTGCATTTACAAAAGATTGTTCTCATACTGATTAATGCAGGCAGCTAACTCATTGGTTTATGCAACTTTATTGAAGAAAAATAAATCAATTACTAGCAGAGCTATTAGTTGATCACTCATCCATTGACAACTTGCATCATTTATTCAGTGCTATATTAAACAGTGTACTGGAAGATAGATTAACTAATAGCTCCAAGCCTCCTAATAATTTAAATGAAAATTACAAAATGTTTGAGACCCTATTTTGGAATACAAAGAGTGTTTGACTTCCAATTCCCATTCTCTGTAGAACAAGAACAGGTCATTCCTTTATTGACATGCATAAAATACATCACATTTTCTGTCCTGCTGATGCTATAAATTCAATACCAATTTTCCAGCCACGTCAGTTACGAGCATAAAGTATATCATGTAACCTCAAATCTCTAACAGTGGAAGGCTTACACATGAATGGATGCTGCTAGAATAATGCTGCTTCCTTTGATGTGATAACTCAGCATCCATCTCCCTCCCCCTCAGATGATTCTTCAGCATGTTAGAGCAGTGAGGAATGGTTTTAGTCTCATAACCAAGTTAGAGTGAAGACACTGGCCACATAATACACATGCTCCATTTTTTAAAAAATTCTGAATCTTGGGCAACTGTTCTCTTGTAACTACTTTACAGTTTCTAAAAGCAGTTATTGTCCAAAGCTGGAAGGACTTAAGTCTTCTCAGATGAGCATGTGAATGAATGGAGGGAGGTAAACAAAAAATAAAATTAAAAAAGATGAGGTCTGATAGGGGAGCAGCCGGATAAGAAAATCAAAAAAGGAACAGTAATTTAGTTTATTCCAGCTATGATGCAGGTTATTCCGACTTTAAGGTAGCATCACATGGCATACTTCTGAGTCTATTCCCGAGATATTCTGTTGTACTTATCTCTGTTTCATAGATCCGTGCAATCTCTGGCACTAGAGGGTCATGTGGGTTTGGATCACATAGCAGTGAATAAATGGATAAAAGAACTTTAGAAATAGTTAAAGCGGGCTTCCCTGGTGGCGCAGTGGTTAAGAGTCCACCTGCCGATGCAGGGGACACAGGTTCGTGCCTTGGTCCTGGAAGATCCCATATGCCGCGGAGCGGCTGGGCCCGTGAGCCATGGCCGCTGAGCCTGCGCATCCGGAGCCTGTGCTCCGCAACAGGAGAGGCCACAGCAGTGAGAGGCCCGTGTACCGCAAAAAAAATAAAAATAAAAATAATAATAATAATAAAAAAAAGAAATAGTTAAAGCAGGAGAACACTGTGATCTTAGAATATCGAGACAAATGCTGCCATTACTGTTAATATTTGGATGATAAATTCTTGTAAATGCAACCTTAGGTGGTTTGAAGGGATAGTCTGTAGGAAAATGAACTGTCAAAAGGAATACACTGCCTTGATATGGGCTGTCATTAGGTCCCATAATTGTGGCTTGCCAATGAAACATATCATCCCCAACTGGACCTGCAAAACATTGTGCTGGAGGGTCACGGGCCAAATCACTAAGCTCCTTATTAATCCGTTTCAGCACCATCATCTGTGCTTTTCACCTGGCTCCTCACTATTTCAGCGTGTGCTCAAAGTTCCGGCCAAAACTCTTGATAATCCCGGCGGCTAGGAAGGATTGTCTCTTGGTCTCACACCAGCTCTGCCATACACAGGTGCAGAGGGGCCGGGGCCTCCCTCAAGCTGCGGCCTCAGCCTCCTCCCTGCGCGGCAGCTGGTGCCTCCCTAGCCCTACGGGGCTCACGCGCACGACACAGCCACAAGATCTGGTACTCAATTTAAATGGTTCTTGTTAAGAATACGCCTGCCAAACGATACTGATTTTGTGGTTCAGTTTAGAAGCTGCACAGTGACAGGGTATTTCTTTGCTTTGGAAGGGAAGTGGAAAGAGCAGAGGGGTTGGCATGCAGGCATCAGCCAGTGCTCACACCCACTAACTGGTAACCATGCTAAGAGCATTGGTACTGCTCATCTCCAGGGATTCACACACAGCCCCAAAAACAACCTGTAATAAACTGTAATAAAATGATGGCATCCATAATAAAGCATCACAGTTTATACAGTTTTCAAAATACCTTTCAATATATTAAATTCATTGATAAGCATTTTCACATATATTATCTCATTTGATGTTGTTATACCTGTTTAATACTTGATTGCAATTGTGGGTCAGGGAAGTAACTGACTGTCAGGTCACAAATGCTATCTAACTGACCAAGAAAGGCCTCAAACCCAAGTGTTCTGCCTCCAAATCCAATCTCACTGTTCTGCCCTGTACCTGAGGAAGGTGGTATAGCTGACCAAGTAGGGATCTGGTAAGAGCCTTTTTTTCAAACACACAGGAAACCTAGAAGGCATGTCCTCTTCTTAGGGGAGGCTGGGAAAAGGAGTGATTATATATTTGCTATAATTCTTTCAACTATACAAAGACACACAGACTGAGAACAATTATGTAACTTTCCATTACAAACTTCAATATTCTTTCTTTCAAAGCCCTTCAGTCCTAATCTTCGTTATACCATTTACTGTATGTATAACTCCAGGTCACCAGTGGAGCTCCTCTGGGCCTTAGTCACCAAATCTATATAACAGGGAAAATAATTTCAGCCTTAGAGGGTAGCTAAGAGGTCTTAAGTGAAATAATGTATTTGATTGACTAGATTAAGCCAGGAGCAGAGGTCTTGAGGGAGCAGAAGCCCAATTTGGATCCAGGAACTGGATCTTGCCTTTCTGTTTCATAATCCCATTCAAACAAATGAGACACAAAGATGTAAGTCCTCAAGGGGAAAAGTGAGCTAGCAATTTGGTTCCCAGCAGCCAAAATACTGTAGGATCAGCCAAAGCTTCCTAGGTTTAAAACAGGGCTCACTTTGAAAACTGTGGGGACTTCCCTGGTGGTGCAATGGTTAAGAATCCGCCTGCCAATTCACGGGATATGGGTTCGAGCCCTGGTCCGGGAGGATCCCACATGCCATGGAGCAACTAAGCCCATGCACCACAACTACTGAGCCTGCGCTCTAGAGCCTGTGAGCCACAACTACTGAGCCCACATGCCACAACTACTGAAGCTCGCGCACCTAGAGCTCGTGCTCCACAACAAGAGAAGCCACCGCAATGAGAAGCCGTGCACTGCAATGAAAAGCAGAACCCCTGCTCGCTGCAATTAGAGAAAGCCTGTGTGCAGCAATGAAGACCCAACACGGCCATAAATAAATAAATAAATACAATTAAGAAAGAAAGAAGAAAGGAAGGAAGAAATAAAGAAAGAAAGAAAATTGTGGTATTTCTGAGGTTACGGAAGGAAGGAGGAAAGAAAGAAAGAGGAAGGAAGGAAGGAAGGAAGGAAGGAAGGAAGGAAGGAGGGAAGGAAAAAAGAAAGAAAGAAAGAAAATTGTGGTATTTCTGAGGTTACATAAAATGGGTGCTGTGATAATTCAGAGAGCGAGGAGAGCATCTCAACTACGGGCCTAGACAAGAGTTAGTAACGACTCTAAGTCTAACTGCCTACATATGTGTTATACGCTGTAAACATCTCCCTCTTTTTAAAGGTAAAATGAAATTGTGCTTTTTAGTTTAGAGCACACTAGAATAAAGCCAAAGTTCTTTCTTATTTAAGTTACAAAACTGTATCTTTACTCTTCACCACAAGATGTCACTATTGCCCAAGAGCAACGTTATAAAATGCTTATTTTTATGATCAGTATCTTACCTTAATATCTTTAAGGGAGACAAACTTCTCGATACCTACTTCAATCATATCCAGCACGTGGTAGTCATACATACGACCTAGAAGGAAAATACATTTTCTTTTAACCATTTATTTTTTCCCAAACAGCTGCCTTATATTCACCTACTTATCTGCGTGTTCAAAATGTCCGAATATCTGCCTCTTTTCTTTCTCCTTAAACCTCCCAAAAATGTCTCTTCTTTCTTAAATTTTCAACTCTACCTAGAATGTACTGTTGCAACTTTGGACCTGGAAAGGATCTTAAAAGATCACTTAGCCAAACTCCCTTACTTTACAGAAGAATAAATAAAGGCCCACAGAGGGTAAAGGGCTTTTGCTAAGCCAGTGAGCATGTCAGTCCAAGCCTCAATATACAATACAGGGCAAGGGTTTATTTTCAAACGTATTCATTATACAGGTATTTATTAGGGAAGGGTTAATTTGTGTGTGTAAGTATGCTACTTTTTTTTTTCTAACTCTAATACTGATTTAGGATATATGTTTTATATTTGAAAAACTTCCACAACTTGAGGTAGGGTGATATTTACATGCCCCTTCTTTACCTGAAGACTGGTAGGTAAAAATAAATTTTATTCACACTCACAAGGAAAATAAAAAACTAGTTTAGTGCTAACTGGCTACTCCTGAATCCTCAATACCATCAATTAATCTGAGTCACAGAACTGAGTCTATAAAATAAAAGTATTAAAAAGTAAATGATATTTACCTATTACTAGATTATTTGGCCGCTTCTTATTATGGGAGCCAAACATGAATAAAGAACAATCTGACTTCTTTGAAAAAAATTCCTGTAAAACCAAAGAAATCTCCTTCAATCAATGCATAAATGTAAGAACCTTAAGAATTGTACCTCTTTGAAATAAAAGGTATCCAAATTGTAAAGGAAGAGGTAAAACTGTCATACGCAGATGATACGATACTATATATAGAAAACCCTAAAGGCTCCACACAAAAACTACTAGAACTGATCAACATAAATAAAACAAAAAGACAACCTACGGACTTCAAGAAAATATTTGCAAACAACGAGACTGACAAGGGCTTAATTTCCAAAACATATAAACAGCTCATACAAGTCAATAACAAAAAAACCAACCTGATCAAACAATGGGCAGAAGACCTAAATAGACATTTCTCCAAAGAAGACAAACAAATGGCCAAGAGGCACATGAGAAGATGCTCAACATCACTATTAGAGAAACGCAAATTAAAACTACAATAAGATACCACCTCACATCAGTCAGAATGGCCATCATTAAAAAGTCTACAAGTAACAAATGCTGGAGAGGGTGTGGAGAAAAGGGAACCCTCCTACCTACACTGTTGGTGGGAATCTTAGTGCAGCCACTATGGAAAACAGTATGGAGGTTCCTTAAAAAATAAAAAATAGGGTTGCCATATGAACCAGCAATCCCACTCCTGGGCATATACCCAGATAAAACTATAACTCAAATGCACCCCAATGTTCACTGCAGCCCTGTTTACAATAGCCAAGACATGGAAGCAACTTAAAGGTCCATCAACAGATGAATGAATAAAAAAGATGTGAGGGCTTCCCTGGTGGCGCAGTGGTTGAGAGTCCACCTGCCAATGCAGGGGACACAGGTTCATGCCCCAGTCTGGGAAGATCCCACATGCTGTGGAGCAGCTGGGCCCGTGAGCCATGGCTGCTGAGCCTGTGCGTCCGGAGCCTGTGCTCCGCAATGGGAGAGGCCACAACAGTGAGAGGCCCGAGTACCACAAAAAAAAAAAAAAAAAAAGATGTGATACATACCTATACTAAGGAACACTCCCCAGCCATAAAAAAGAATGAAATCATGCTATTTGCAGCAACATGGATGGACGTACAGATTATCATACTAAGTGAAGTCACACAGAAAAAGACAAAATATATCACTTATCATATGATATATATGTGTTATATGTGTTATGTATGTTATATATGGAACAAATGAACTTATTTACAAAACACAAACAGACTCACAGGCACAGAAAACAAATTTATGGTTACCAAAGGAGAAAGAGGGTGGGGAAGGGATAAATTAGGAGTTGGGATTAGCAGATACAATCTACTATATATATTGGGTTGGCCAAGAAGTTCCTTTGGGTCTTTCTTAACATGTTACTAGAAAAATAAACAACAAGGTCCTATTGTATAGCACAAAGAACTGTATTCAATATCCTATAATAAATCACAATGGAAAAGAATATGAAAATGAATATACATATAACTGACTCACTTTGCTGTACACCAGAAACTAACACAACATTGTAAATCAACTATACTTCAATTTAAAAAAAAGAAAAAGAATTGTACCTCTGAACTAAAAACAAAATGTACATCAGTTTTTTTCAGTGGAAATTAAAGACGACTTAATGAACTAGATAGGAATAAACAAAGAAAAAGGACTTTATTTGTAGCTTTTTACTTCAAATTTTCTGATTTGGGGTATCTAGGGAAAAGATGTAAGTTTAAGACTAAAAATATATGAAAACTACTAGGTTAATAAATTTTTAAAGGCCCTTTATTTCCAGCTATGCAGTTATTTTGGAATAGCACACCAAGTTTTCCATTTGCTGAACAAATGCCTTCACTCAAAGGACACACACGGGGCTTCCCTGGTGGTGCAGTAGTTGAGAGTCCGCCTGCCGATGCAGGGGATGCAGGTTCGTGCCCCAGTCTGGGAAGATCCCACATGCCGCGGAGCGGCTGGGCCCTTGAGCCATGGCCGCTGAGCCTGCGCGTCCGCAGCCTGTGCTCCACAACGGGAGAGGCCACAACAGTGAGAGGCCCACGTACCGCAAAAACAAAAGGACACACACGAATATACTGGGGACTTACATGAATTAATCAATATGGTTCCTTTGGATGTTTATAACTGTACTCATGAGTTTACAATGCATATACCTACTTTTCACTGCAAACTTCATCCACACAGGAATCTTGCCCTAGAGTCTCCACACCATCCCAGCTGTGACTAGTTCCATTTTATGTACCAAGCCAGGACTGACTGACAGATCTACGATGTTCCTACCAGTTAAGAGATATCTCCTCCATCTGGCTCTCAAAAATATTGACTTCTGGGCTTCCCTGGTGGCGCAGTGGTTGAGAGTCCGCCTGCCAATGCAGGGGACATGGGTTTGTGCCCCGGTCCGGGAAGATCCCACATGCCGCAGAGTGGCTGGGCCCATGAGCCATGGCCGCTGAGCCTGCGCGTCCGCAGCCTGTGCTCCGCAATGGGAGAGAGGAGAGGCCACAGCAGTGTGAGGCTCGCCCAACCCCAAAAAAAAAAAAAAAAAAAAAAAATTGACTTCTATTACAGATTTGAGAGGGATGGAAACACAATTATGGGGTTTCAATCCTGGACACCTCCTTCTACACTAGTGCCTATACTTTATATCCTACATACTTTGATTCAGTTTATTGAGATTCCCAATCTTAGCACAAAAATTAGATTGAATGTGTTCTTGTCTAGTTCTAGCATAGTTGGAAAAGCTTCCTAAATTAATGACAAAAATGTTAAAGAACATTCGAAGCAACCACAGTCCTCAACTTTTCTTTATTGAGTGCAAGACCCCCTGAGGTATGGGCCCCTCGTTTGGTTATCATTCATTCCAGTGTTTAAGCAGAAGCAAATAGGAACAAACAACTACCTACGTGCCTATCCACTCCCTATGTAGAGGATACAGAGTCAGAAAGTCCAAGAATTCTGGCTTTGCCACTTGCTATGGGATCTGGTCAGCCTTTCTGAGAATTAGTTTTATCATGTGTAAATCAAAGACAATAACACTTCCTGAAAAAATCTGCAAGGGCCACATGACACGTCATATGGGAAAGCAACTTACACTGTGTCTGGCACAAAGCAGGTGCTCAGAAATGTTTTTTAAATGTCCATATCAATGAAAATCCTTTCTTAAAAAAATTTTTTTTTACATTCTCATATTAACACCCCAAAGCTTTCCATAAACTACCTTTCACATATATATAGTACTCACCTGTCATCCTTCTCCATAAAGTCCGGTTTTTGTTAAAATTCTACAGCAAGAGTAGACAAATTATCTTCAAAAGACTAGATAGTATATATTTTAGACTTTTTATATGGTGTAAAAAAAAAATTTTTTTTTAATGTAAAAACCATTCTTAAAAAAAAAAAAAAAAAAAAAAAACCATTCTTAGCTTGTGGTCCTCACAGAAACTGGGATTTAGCCCACAGGAGGTATATTTGCTAACTCTTGTGCTAAAGCACAGTTCCAAGATTACAGTGTAAGAAATGTGCTATTGGGGGATGGGCAGTCAGGAGGAGGAATTCAACCAAATTTCCAACATGATCACTGTTTCCACAGCCATTTTGAGCTCTAGTGGTCTGAGATTTATTACAGCCAATGAAATATCTCCTGTCTCTGGAAGTGGGAGATCAAAGAACGGAAATGCCACAATTTTAAGTATAAGAAAAGCTGTCATATTGACACTGGATTGAAAAAAAAGTACAGAATGCTACAGATTCTACCACATAACACTTCTACAAAGTGGTCACTCAACTGAAAACACCATGGTGTCACAAAACAAAATCAGCCCTGGATAAGTCACGTGTGGAAGAGAGAGATTTCTGGGTTAGACCCTCCATTTTTACTTTCATGATCTCTTCAAAAATGATGGTGAAAAACCCAAGACTATGATAAAAGCAATTTTATTAAAAAAAACTATTTATTTTGACAATATTTTCTTAATATAATTTTCACTGCAGTTAGTTGCCAAATTAGGATAAGACGCTCAATTTCAGTTTTCTAATTAGTTATTGAGATTCTTTTCAAAAAATTTTTCTTTTAAATTCACTAACTAAAAGAACAAGCAATGGCGATCCTGTCAAGAGAACATAATCATGTTCTGATTCTTTTTAGGTCAACTTAAATAGTTTAATCCACGTATTCCCTTAAGATTTTCTTTAGTAAGAAACAAATATCATCACATACTCAAAGTCCACTCATCATTCCCCATTTATTATATACCACCTTTTATCTTCTGATTTCATTCACTAGACTTTCATTTAGTTTTGATTGCCAATACACTCAAACGGGAATTTGATTAACTCCAGTAAAGCAACTGACAATTGTTAGTAATCATTTGGGTAGTGTTTCTTGTTCTTAAAACACTCAAAAAAAGAAAAGTAAAATTTTTTTAAATCGAACTTGCTCTATAAAAATAGATCCATAACAAGCTTCCTTTTGACAATCCATAATTATGCACTTAAAATGTAATTCAATTTTTAAAAATTCTATCAATATAATTGCAAGCAGTGAATACATAACATTCAGTGAAATGTAAGCTCTATAGGCATCTTTTTGAAAGTATAAGTCTTATTTCCGCTGCATTCTGCATCAAAATTCCCTCACATAGGATGATTTCTAATTCAAAATCATAAATTAGGAGTACTGTTAAATTAAATGAATTAGTTTGAATAATCACTTATATGCCTTCTTAAATCAGAAAGATTCTACTTACCAATGATGTCTGATCCTCAAATGGTCTTGTAATATTTTTCCTAATATTAAAAAAAGTTACCCTAATTTTAATAATCTTAATAAGTAATTCACCCATAACAATAAATATTAAGTAAAGATAATTTTATATTCAGATGATTAAAAAAAAGAAGCTAGAAGAATATTTATTCATTCAAATATTTATTTAATGCCTATTATGTGCCAGGCACTGTTCTAGGAGCTAGGGATACCATAATACCATGTCAAACAAGATCCTTGCTTTCACGGAGCTTACATTCTAGAGGAAAAATGAACAATTTCAAAAAGTAATATCTGTTGTGACAAAAATAAAATAGGGCACTGTGTTAGTGTGAAGAATGCAAAATGATTATTTGAGCTGAGACCTGATAAATGAGGAGTTAGCCATGGAAAAGTTTTGAGGTTAAGAGTATTCCAGGAAAAGGAAACAGAATAAAAAAAGATTCTGAGATGGAAACAAGCTTAGACTATTCAAGAAACAGACGACAAATGTCACCGGAGCTTAGTGAACAAAGGGTTAACGGTGGGGTATGAGGTCAAAGATGTAGACTTGGCCCAGAATATGTAGGGCCTTGTTCATCAAGGTAAGGAACGTAAGTTATTAAAAGAATAACAGGAAGCACTGGGGGGTTTTAGGCAAGACAGTGATATGATTGGATTCAAGTGTTTTTTTGTTTTTTTTTTTTTACTTATTTTATTTATTTTTGGCTGCGTTGGGTCTTCGTTGCTTTCCCCGGCTTTCTCTAGTTGCAGTGAGCAGGGGCTACTCTTCGTTGCAGTGCACAGGCTTCTCATTGCGGTGGCTTTTCTTGTTGCAGAGCATGGGCTCTAGGTGTGCAGGCTTCAGTAGCTCTGGCGTGTAGGCTCAGTAGTTGTGGCTCACAGGCTCCAGAGTGCAGGCTCCAGAGTAGCTGTGGCACACGGGCCCAGCTGCTCTGTGGCATGTGGAATGTGGGATCCTCCCGGACCAGGGCTCGAACCCATGTCCCCTGCATTGGCAGGCGGATTCTTAACCACTGTGCCACCAGGGAAGCCCCAAGTGTTCTTTTTTTTTTTCTTTTTTTGCGGTACGCGGGCCAATGCAGGGTACATGGGTTTGAGCCCTGGTCCGGAAAGATCCCACATGCCACGGAGCAACTAAGCCCGTGTGCCACAACTACTGAGCCTGTGCTCTAGAGCCCATGAGCCACAACTACTGAGCCTGCATGCCGCAACTACTGAAACCCATGCGCCTAGAGCCCGTGCTCCACAATGAGAGAAGCCACCGTAATGAGAAGCCCACGCACGGCAACGGGTAGCCCCTGCTCACTGCAACTAGAGAAAGCAGCAACAAAGACCCAACACAGACAAAAATAAATAAATAAAAAAAATTTATAAAAAAAGAAAAAGGAAAAACTGGTGCAAACCAAATCAAGCCTGTGATTTAATTAACATTATTGTACCAATGTTCATTTCTTACTTTTGCTAACTGTATTATGGTTATGGAAATTATAATATTAAGAGATGCTGGGAGAGGGTATATGGGAACTCTACTATTTTTGTAACTTTTCTGTAAGTCTATCACTATTTAAAAATAATACATAATGCTATGATTACAACTCTGTAAGAATATTCAGTACAAATGAAAACACAGACAGGAAACAAACAAATTTTAAAATACTCATAGCAGGACTTCCTTGGTGGTCCAGCAGTTAAGACTCCATGCTCCCAATGCAGGGGGTCAGGGTTCGATCCCTAGTCAGGGAACTAGATCCCGCACGCCGCAACCAAAGGCCCAGCGCAGCCAAATAAATAAATATTTTAAAATAAATTAATTAAATAAAAATAAAATACTCATAGCTATGTATGTAAGGAACTGTAGTATTTTTTAACCAAAATATTTTTCTAAATCTCCCATAAAGTGGTTGGTTGTTACTTTTATAATGAAACAATATAATTTAATAAGTGAAATAAAAGAAATCATGACTTACTTTTTATACAGAACTCCATATGGTTTCTTCAATGCATACTGTAAAACATAATTTATAGCTTTCAAAACAAAGCACATTCTGAAAAGCAGAGGTAAAAATCAAGCATTATAACAGTCATTATACAAGATTATCCTGGTCCCTGAATCCTATTCTGCTATCTTCTGCATGGCTCCCTTTTGATCACTTATAACTTGCAACACAAGCTTAATATTCTTAGCTGGGAGTTTCCTAATTAAAAATTTCTATGCCCTTTCAATATTCTATCCAATTTAAATGATTCCCTTCATTTCCTTAAATTCTAGCTTCATCTAGCCCACTCTCCTTTAGCCATCCCCAATTATCTGCAGTTCCCCAAATGCATCATGCTCATTAACACGCCCTTTTGCACAAGCTTTTTCCTCAGCCTTGGAAGCCCTTCTCTTCCGCTTCCTTTTCTCCTTCTTGTTCCAACTCCTCCTTCAAAATGATGCTTAAGTGTCATCTCTAGGAAGCCCGTCCTGTGTGTGGCAACCCCCGTGGGATTTTAACTCAGCCTCCCATCCTATCCTGTGTGCAGCTCCAGCACAGCACTTCATTCACAATGCTGTTAACTTTTACTTGTCTGTCTTCCTCACTAAGCTCACTGAAGGGAAAGACTGTGTTTTATGTAACTATTAATCCCTAGCACCTAGCACAGTAGTTGGTATTGTTGAAAGAACAGATAGTAATATGCAGTTACCTCGTTTTACAAATTAGATATGTTCCTGAAATGTGAGTAAATCAAATGCTAGTAATTGGAATTAGGTGAAATTTACTAAGGGGACTAGCTGCTGTAAGGAAAACCAGTAGTCAGTGCCTTGGTGAGACGTTAGCTTTTCTCTAAGGCTAGCATTTCTTAAGACAAGCCAAATTTATCTATTATTTCTCAGGCAGTCCAACTAGTACACTAAAAATTTCCTAAAATGATTTCAACACCATTTAAAAAGTAAGTATATATATACGTACCACATCTCTAAGTACTTGTGTCACTGTTGAACTTGCATTGCCTCCTTTAATCAGCATAGCATTTTTAATATTTTCACTGAGCTTCGGTTCTCTTTTCTCAAGGAATCTCTTGGCTCTTTTTGTTTTGGGCTTTCTATTTGGAAAAATCACAATTCATAACAACTTAAAACATGTTCCTCATATTACAAAACCATGACTTATGTGCAAATTCTTAAAAATCAACAGGACATTACATGACATTTATCAGTTAGGATTCCACCACTAAACAAAATCTCACTTTTTAGTAATATTAGTAAAAGATATTCAGCTATTACTGTTAAATAAGTGTTAATTTTATTAGATATGGTCTTTAAAAAGACTCCCATTTTTATATTCCCAGCATTCTTTTATTACTGTTTTCTAAACCTTTTATTTAAAAAAAGAGATAGAACTTCCCTGGTGGCACAGTGGTTAAGAATCCGCCTGCCAATGCAGGGGACACGGGTTTGAGCCCTGGTCCAGGAAGATCCCACATGCTGCGGAGCAACTAAGCCCGTGCGCCACAACTCCTGAGCATGTGTTCTAGCGCCCACGATCCACAACTACTGAGCCCACGTGCCACAACTACTGAAGCCTGCACACCTAGAGCCTGTGCTCTGCAACTAAGAGAAGCCACTGCAATAAGAAGCCCGCGCACTGCAACGAAGAGTAGCCCCCGCTCGCCACAACTAGAGAAAGCCCGCACGCAGCAACGAAGACCCAATGCAGCCAAAAAATTAAAAAATAAATACAAAAGGCATTTAAAAAAAAACTAACCTAGACCAATCACTCTGCAAGATATGAAAGGAAAACAAATCCGTTATTCTGATTGTATGATGTGACAGCAGGGATAGAATGCTTTTATACACTCTGTTCACCTCTGCTTACACTACAGTGAGAATCTTGATTTTCCAACAGTTCTCTGCCATCTACTGAAATAATTCCTCTTCTCTTAAATAACTATGACCCTCCCTCCTTCCGGTCCCACGGACACTTCGTGAAGTAAAAGCAAAACAGAATATGCACAAACTTACTTTACCATGCAGATTTTAAAAATTCACCAGATAAAATGTCAAGCACATTTAAAGCTTCTAATCATTTACTGGTTGATAAAGATACACAGTACTTTTTAAGTCAAACGAAGAGAGATTTAGTGTGTCTATAACCCAATAAAAGTACTATATGTTCTATATTCCATGTGCTTTATTACTTCTGACTAACCAGCAACTAATCCAAATAACACCTTGTACGTTTTATTAGCTGTTTGTCCCATAATGAGACAGTAAACTAGTCTTACTCATTTTTGCGGTCCCCGCAACTGCAGAGGAATATTCAGCACATGTGCAAAAATCGCTGATTTAATGACCAAAAGAATAATTTGTCCTTTTGATTACATGTTAACCCAGGTAAAACTTAGAAAACCCATAGCAAATAACAGCAGAACTATTTATGAGATCGATAAACATTTTCTGGACTAATATAAAGCAGACATTACCCAAGGATAACTCAGAGAAGTGTACAAGTATGGGAAAGAGAAAAAAAGCTAATGAGCATCTCTACGTGCTGCCGCAAAGCCTTTACATATATTCTCGCAAATATTCCTCACAGTTCTATGAAGTACGACTATTATGAACGCTATTTTACGGAGTAAACTGAGACTTAGGGAGACTAAATGGCCCAGTCACATAGCTTTAAGTGGACGGGCCCGGACTGTCACCTAAATCTGTCACATTCCCAGGCCTGTGCTCAGAGCACCTCACTCAGGTGTTCTGTGCCCAGAACACCTCTCTCACCTTCCTCTCACTTCTGCGGAAGCCGAGACACTTCTTATTGTCTAGGATAAAAGCGGCCAACGTCTCGGTGCCACCTCCACGCCGCGGCTCCCACACACGGCCTTCCCTGCTCTCCGTCTCCCTGCAGGCCGCCCCAACAGACGGAGACACAAACTAGTGGATACATCCCGCACGGAGTGGTAACGGGTGTGAGGAAGGAGCGTGGGCGGCCAGGAGGAGCGGGAGGCAGAGGCGCTACTCCTCCGTCCCGCTACAGAGGCCCTTCTCCCCAACGTTACCCGGGGAAAGAATCCACTGCACTTACACAACTCGATCCAAAGCGTCCATGCTACCGCAGCGCCCACCTGGCGCACGCACGTGTACCGCAGGGTTACAGGAGATACAGCAGCGCCTTGACCGAGGCGGAACAGGAACTTGGGCGTGACCTCACTTCCTGGCACCACCGCCGACGTGGAGGCTTGGAGGCGCTGGCGGCCGTTTGGGATGAAATAGCGCTCTGTTTCCTTGGTTACAGGTGTTTGTCTTGGCTCTTTTCCGGAAATCAACAGGCTCCTCTTGGAGCTTGATGTACACAGCTGTGTGTGATAGACCAGGGTTCTCGGCCTTCCCCAATCAATAGAAATTGGTAAGAGGCCAGTCAAGAAATTCAGACAAGGCTTTTGGGGGGCTTCTGTGGCTGCAGGAAGGAGCAAAACCAAGTAACAGGTTCCCTTGCTAGTTCCCGAAGGTAGGGGGTGGGGCGCAGGTGAGCTGGTTCCTTATATGGGGTGAGGGTAGGGTGTGTCCAGGGGTGGGCTGGAGGGGTAGCTTAGGTGGTTTGCTCATGCATTTGGTGGTGTTGGTTGCAGGGGGCATGCGCAGTACCCTGCTTTTGCCCCCTTTGCTCCCAGCTCTGCAAAAGTGGCAATGGGGTTTTTCTGATCTTTTTGTTTCTTGCCCATAATTTGCCCCAACTGTGCATGCACATATTTTTAGTCTCTTATAGTTTCTTTATATTTTGTTACTCCAGGAGACGTTTGTTCAGGTGCAAGCATTGCAGCACTGCAGGAAATGGTCCCAGGTCCCAGCCTGTCTCATGTGTATACCTGGACTCAGATATTCAGGGACCAGGTGTTATTCATCTGGGAATCCTCCAGGATGCTAGAAAGGTTGGTGGCATGGTAGGTACTCATAGTCACTAAAATTACCAATGTGAAATATGCACTGTTGACAAAACTGTGAGATCAGTGAGGCAGAGTTTATAAACAGAGTTTATAACTGCCACAGTGCCTGGCACATAAAATGTATGCAGAAAATAACACTTCTGATTGTTATTTTCCCCCCAATGTTTAAGTTGTTGTATACATCACATACCATAAGTTACCGCGTAAAGTGTACAATTTCTTTTTTTTTTTTTTTTTTTTTTTTTGCGGTACACAGGCCTCTCACTGTTGTGGCCTCTCCCGTTGCGGAGCACAGGCTCCGGACACGCAGGCTCAGGGGCCATGGCTCACAGGCCCAGCTGCTCCGCGGCACGAGGGATCCTCCCGGACCGGGGCACGAACCCATGTCCCCTGCATCGGCAGGCGGACCCCCAACCACTGTGCCACCAGGGAAGCCCACAATTTCTTGGTTTTTAGTATATTAACAAAGATGTACATCCATCACCACTATCTAATTCCAAAACATTTTTATCACCCTCTCATAACCCAGTAGCACTCTCCACTTTCCACCCTTGTCAAACCCTGGCAACCACTAATCTATGTCTCTGTAGATTTGACTATTGAGAACATACCATATAAATGGATTCATACAATATGTGGCCTTTTGTATCTGGCTTATTTCACTTACTATGTTCATAAGTGTTCATGTTTAAGGTTCATATGTGTTGTAACATGTATCAGTACTTCTTTCTTAGTACATTAATTTCTTTACTTAGGACTGAATAATAGTCCATTCTATGGATATACCATGTTTGTATATCCATTCAAAAATTTATGAACATTTGTGTTTCCACTTTTATACTATTATGCATTATGCTGCTTTGAACATTTATGTACAAGTTTTTATGTAGACTTGTTTTCAGTTCTCTAGGAGTAGAATTGCATGTGGTAATTCTATGTTTGACATTTTGAGGAACCGCCAAACTATTTTCTGTCTGCACCATTTTACATTTCCATTAGCAATGTAAGATGGTTTGGAATTGGTTTTTCTATTGGTGCTGTAACAAATTACCACAAATTTACTGTCATAACACAAATTTATTATGTTAGTGTTCTAGAAGCCCGAAGCCTAAAATTAGTTTTACACGTCTAAAATTAAGTTGTCAGTAGGGGTACATTCCCCCAGAAGCTCCAGGGAGACTCTGTTTCTTTGCCTTTCCAGTTTATAGAAGCCGTTTGCATTCCTTAGTATTCCTCCATCTTCAAAAGGCATCACTTGAACTTCTGTTTCTACTGCCACAACTTCTTTTTCTCTCTGACACTTCTGAATCCCTCTTATAAAACCCGTGTGATTACATGTGGCCCAACTGGATAATCCACAATAATAACCCCCATCGCAAGATCCTTAATGTAATCATATAGCAAATTCCCTTTGGCCAAATAAGGTAACATATTCACAGATTCCTGAGTTTAGGCATGGGCATCTTTTTTTTTTTTTAATTTTTACAATTTTATTTATTTATTTATTTTTGGCTGTGTTGGGCCTTCGTTTCTCTAGTTGCGGCGAGCGGGGGCCACTCTTCATCGCGGTGCGCGGCCTCTCACTGTCGTGGCCTCTCTTGTTGTGGAGCACAAGCTCCAGACACGCAGGCTCAGTAGTTGTGGCTCACGGGCCTAGTTGCTCCGCGGCATGTGGGATCTTCCCAGACCAGGGCTCGAACCCGTGTACCCTGCATTGGCAGGCAGATTCTCAGCCACTGCACCACCAGGGAAGCCCAAGGCATGGGCATCTTTTGGGGAGAGCATTATTCTATTAATCACAGGTTCCAACTTCTCCATTCCTCTCCAAAATTTGCTATTGTCCATCTTTTTTCATTAAGCCATCCTGGCAGGTGTAAAGTAGTATCTCATTGTGGTTTTCACTTGCATTTCACTGATGACAAACGATTTTGAGCATTTTTTCCATGGGCTGATTGGCCATTTGTATACCTTCTTCAGGAAAATGTCTATTCGAATCTTTGCTCATTTTTAAATTGGGTTGTCTTTTTATTGTTGGGTTGTAATAGTTTCCAATATATTCTACATACAAGTCCCTTATCTGATATATAATTTGAAATATTTTCTCCAATTGAATAGGCTTTTTCATTTTCTAGATAGTGTCCTCTGAAGCGAAAAACTTTTCAATTTTTTTTTTTTTTTTGTGGTGGTATGCGGGCCTCTCGCTGTTGTGGCCTCTCCCGTTGCGGAGCAGAGGCTCCGGACACGCAGGCTCAGCGGCCATGGCTCACGGGCCCAGCCGCTCCGCGGCATGTGGGATCTTCCCGGACCGGGGCACGAACCCGTGTCCCCTGCATCGGCAGGCAGACTCTCAACCACTGCGCCACCAGGGAAGCCCAAACTTTTCAATTTTGATGAAGTCCAATGTATCCATTTTTTTTTTCGTTTTTCGTGTTATATCTAAGAGGCCATTTCCTAATCCAACATAATAAAAGATTTTTTGTTTTTTGGCTGTATTGGGTCTTCGTTGCTGAGCGCAGGCTTCCTCTAGTTGCAGCGAGCAGAGGCTACTCTTCGTTGCAGTGCGTGAGCTTCTCATTGTGGTGGCTTCTCTTCCTGGGGAGCACAGGCTCTAGGCACATGGGCTTCCATAGTTGCAGCATGCAGACCTTAGAGCGTGCAGGCTTCAGTAATTGTGGTGCATGGGCTCAGTAGTTGTGGCTCACAGGCCCTAGAGCGCAGGCTCAGTTGCTGTGGCACACAGGCTTAGTTGCTCTGCAACATGTGGGATCTTCCCGGACCAGGGACTGAACCCATGTCTGCTGCATTGGCAGGCAGATTCTTAACCACTGGGCCATCAGGGAAGTCTCTAAAGATTTATACCTATATTTTCTTCAGAGTTTTATCATTTTAAGCTCTTACATTTATTTAGACCTTTGGTCCATTTTGAATAAATCTATATATACATATAGTAGAGACTGGGGGGGTCTCACTTCATTCTTTTGCATATGGATATTCAGTTGTCCCAGGACCATTTATTGAAAAGACTATGTTTGCTCCATTGTATTGCCTTTGCTCCTTGATCTAAGATCATTTTACTGTATGTATGTCTATTTCTGGGCTCTCTATTCTTTTCCATTGACCTATTTGTCTATTCTTTCAGCAGTTCCCACTGTCTCTATTACTGTAGTTTTATAGTAAGTCGTGAAGTCCTTCTACTATGTTCTTCAATATTGTATTGGCTATTCTGGGTCTTTCCCTCTCCATATAAACTTTAGAGTTGGTTTGACAATATCCATAAAAACCTTGCTGTGATTTTATTTCAGATTGCATTGAAACTATAGACCAAGCTGGGAAGAACTAACATCTAGATAATACGGCCACTTTCATATACATGAGGAAAGCTGGGCACACTGCTAACCTGAATAAATTCTGGGATTCTGTTACAAAGAAATAAAGAAAGACCAGATGCTGGCTCAAGTAATTAGCACTCTCTCCACATAGAGACTTCATACCATTTGGGAGAAAAAAATAAGCTTTTGGTTAAACAAAAGCTGACACTAAAGTCATATAAAAATTGGGAGGATACACACTTATGATTTGGAAATGCTTTTAATCAGGGTAAGTTGTTTTCCAAATAAACAGTAAAAATTTACAAAACCTACTGAAGGAAAAAATTCCTCATCCTAGAATATTAGTTCTCTAATCTGTCACAACAAAGTTACATCTCCAACAGTTGTGAGATATAATTAATGTGAGGAGTGTTTCAACTTATTAGTACCAGGTTAAACCATATAAAATTGCAGAGTTTTATAGTCAGAAACAAATATTGGTAATTTCATATAGTTCAACCTGTATCAAAGTTTGTGACTAATTTACTTAAAAAATACAAGTTAGGGTAGATCTAGGTTATCACCATAATATTGTAGAATGTTACAGCTGAATTCCAACCATCTTTCTTCAGCGGGAAAGAAGTGAAATTACGGCTGGAATATCAGAACTGTACCTTCACCCTTAAGCACTTCTGAATTCTTTTTCTGTTCTCAGGAGTAATACTGACTTTGGTAGACTGGAAAATGGCCCCCCAAATATTTTCATGCCATAATTCTCAGTTTTATGCCTGTTTAAATTACATGGCAAAAGGGACTTTGCAGATGGAATTAAGGTTATAGACCTTAAAATAGGGAAGT